AATGCAAGTGAGAGGTTAAAGTCCCCTATAATTATATTACCATCAAATTCTCTCCTTGTGTCCATTAATATTTGCTTTATGTATTTAGATGCTCCAGCGTTGGGTGCGTACATATTTGCAAAAGTTCTATCTTCTTGTATTGATTTCTTTATCATTAGGTAATGCCCTTCTTTGTCTCTTGTTATAGTCTTTGTTTTAAAGTCTGTTTTGTCTCATATTAGTATTACTACACTGGCTTCTTTTTTCACTTCTATTTGCATGGTAAATATTTTTCTGTCCCCTCACTTTCAGTCTATATGTGTCTTTAGGTCTGAGATGAGTCTCTTATAGGCAGCATTAGATGGGTTTTGTATTTTTTTAACCATTCCACCACTCTATGTCTTTTGATTAGAGCATTTAGGCCATTTACATTTAAAATAATTCTTGATAGATATGTATTTATTGACATTTTAAAAATTGTTTTCTTGTTCTTCCCTATCCCTTTCTTATTCTTTTGCTCTCTTTCTTTTTGATTGATGAGTTTCTGCGGTGTTCTGTTTGGCTTTCTTTCTCTTTACTTTTTTGTGTATCAAAGATAGGTTTTAGGTTTGTGGTTACTATGAGGTTCATGTACAGTATCCTTGGTGTATAAAAGCATATATTAAGTATGCCAGCTATACCCAACAGTATAGTTAAGCAGTGAGTAACCTCATTTAGGGTTGATGTGCAAACACTTTTTTTCTCTGAGGGAAGACCCATCAATTAATATTTCAGCTTTCCCAGGATGCTCCAGAGTGGAATAGGAGCAAATTCCCTGGTTTGTTATCAATCCCTTTGGGCCTGGAACAACCTTGACCTTTGAAAACTGCACAGTGAGCTCCTAGAAGTGGCTGCATACGTTTTCAATTCCTCTTGGCCCCTGATTTCCCCATAAATTAAATATGAGAGTTGATTAATTTGAGGCTGGGGTGGGGGGACATAGAACAAAGGGGGTGACCTATTAATTTAAAGCATTAAATAAGTTTTCAAGGGAGGAAGCCAAACTAGGTAGAATTTACATGTTGATCATGTGTATACAAACCATCAATTCTACAGAATTTACAGCTTGATTGCTTTTCTGCAGGAAGTCTTCTCTCCTCTGAGACTAAGTGAACTGTTCCTATATCAAAACAGAATTTCCCTTCTCCCACTGAAATGTTCTCAGACTTTTTGCTGAGTTTAGACTACCTCTTCCCCTGGGGATGGGTCAGACTAGGATGTTCTTTTGTTTCCGTCAGAGAATCTGGCTGTGCCCTTTTTGAGTGTAGAGATAGTTTGGTGAAAAATAACACGATGATAATAAAAATAAATAGCTGAGCTTAACTGGGCACTTACCATGTGAGCTCAGTGCTTTATTTACATTTTCTAATTTAATCCTCACAACCACTGAGTGAGGTAAGTACAATGATCTCCGGTTTTTAAGTAGCCACAGGCAGTCTGAGGCTTGGTTTGATTAAGAAACTTAACCGAGGCTGGAAAGAGAAGTGGTTAACTTCAGTGGTGGAGTTGGTTGGGTAGGTTGGGCTACCATCTGACTCCATGAGCCGTGCTTTCTCTCTCCCTGTAACTTCTTTGGCTTCAAGAAGACATCTTGAAAACTTCCCAGGGTAACTTACAAGCAACGGCTTGATCGAGAATCATGGGCGAATAGGTTGGGGCTCCTTCAGCAAAGGGAAGTGACCTTGCTGGTCACCTCCCGAGTTCCTGCAGCCTGAGATCGTACTCCGGTCTTCTGTGTGCCCACTGCTGCATGCCCCAGGCCTCAGAGGAGTGTGACAATAATTCCTTGTCCAAGTGCAGTTCTCGAGGACTTGGCAGCACCTCCCAACCTGAGGATTTTGTAATTGGGAGTCTAGTCCTTGGAGCCTGGTCTGAGGACAGTGCTGAGGGCCCTGGAGGGAAAAGGGTCTGTGTTTGGACCTGTTGGCCTGGCTGGGGGCAGGAAGGCGGCGTCCGCATGCCTATAGGGATACAGTGGGCACACTCAGTGAGCATGTGGCCCTGGGGACCTGCTTAGCCCAGAGGTCAGATTATATCCCCTGAAACAAAGCGGTGGGTTGAGCCTCCTACTCATGCATTTAGTTCGTTCCTCAGTAGCTCTGGCTGGAGGTCTGCAAGGCCAAGAGGAAGGGGCTTTTATCCAGCCCTTCTCCACGGCCTTCATGACCACAGCATCCAGCCCCAGCAGGCAGCACTGGGCCAGAGGCACCACCTCCAGTGTTGGACTCTGAGGACAGAGTCCTCGCGGAGAGGGAGGTCGGCCTTGGCCATGGGAACCATAGGGCCTGGGAATGAGTCAGTGTGGCCGCCCAGCCCTGGGGACTGGTTTCTCCACAGGTGATTATTGGCCAGGGAGGAGAAAGCAGCCAGCCAGGCCCCATTAAAATGCTACCACTGGCAAGGAATCATCTAGGAACTGTCCCCTGCAGGGCAGACAGAATCTGGAGGGGTAAACTCCCACGTTTCCCACCCAAGCCTCTGGAGGTTCCTGGGGGAGCTCTGGCCCCGGAGGAGGCCAGCTTGCCAGGTGTTTCTGACACAGCTGAGAGCAATCATTGCCGTAGCCCCCTTGTATCCAGCCAGCTCCCGTGCCCGGCACTAGACTCACACTGTCTGTTTTCCTCGCCAGAGCCCTCCAGGTTTGGCGTCGTTATCCCCATTTCTTAAATGGGCTCAAAGCACTAAGTAATGTGCCTCATTTGTAACTGGCTGGATGTAGATTCAAACCCAGGTCTATCTGCGTTTCTCCAGTTTCATCGCTAGTTTCCTCAGAAGGTAGCACTGACTCAACCCAAGATATTGATCTGGGGTGAGCATCTCGGGCAGCACCCACAGCCACGGCGCTTATGGATGTCTCCATGAGGTGAAGTGGGAGTGGAATATGGTACTGGAGTATAGGCATTGAGTGCAGTTTCTCTCCGTGGACAGTCAAGGTGAACACCTCATTTATACACAGGCATCATACTGGTAGTGCCAAGATGTCCTCCGTCTTGTTCTTATCCTGATTTCTGTGGGTAGGTCTGTAGTAAAGCAACTACTTTTGGGGGAAAACTATAGCTTTTGGTACATACACAAGAGCAGAAGCCATTCTGCAGTTTTCTGCCTTTCTCATAATTTCTGGATTTCACCCAGGCCATCAGATCTCTCTTACCTGTACAGCCCTCTATACGTCACCAGTCAGTGTGTATGCTACTAGTTCTATTCTTGATTCCAATATGTCCTTGATCTCAAGAGGCACTTTTCTTCACCTGTTAATATCTTTGCAGTTGGCACCTATCCAGGTGTACGTTTAATGTCGTAGGAGTATTTAAACTGATGCTACCTTTTTAGAACCGAAGGGAACCAAGAACTGGGGAAATACGATAATTCAAGCGTTTATTCAACTCATCAAATGCCTACAGTGAATGTCAGGCATTATGCTGGATGCCTAGAGGATAGAAATAACCAGTACGCAGTCCCTTGCCTTAGGAAGGTCACAGTCTTGGTGGGGAGATAAAGGCTCTTAATCTGAGGAGCCGGGGTATGTGGAGGGTCAGAGGAGAGAAGGCGGGAGTCTGGAACCACTTTGCAGAGAAGGTGCATCATAAAGAGGGTGGGAATACAAAGGGATTAGGAGGGGGTGGAGGTGGCTTGGGTAGTGGGATCCTGGACCATTGGATAGTCGGAGCAGACAAATGTTCAGAATCATGAAATCCTACGACGTCTTTGACGGCTTTAAAGGGTTCACTGTGGTTCCAATGGAGGGCATATGGGGAGACATTGGTGTAAAACAAGGATGCAGGGATAGGCAAGGGGCAGATCACAGGGGACCTTGAGCTCAACCCAAATGAGCTTAATCTCTATCCTGAATCCAGTGGCAAATCACCAAGTGGTTTTCTTTTTTTTTTTTTTAATTTTTTTTTAATCTTTTATTTATTCAGAGAGAGAGAGAGAGAGACAGCATGAACAGGGGAGGGAGGTCAGAGAGAGAGGGAGATACAGAATTCGAAACAGGCTCCAGGCTCTGAGCTGGCTGTCAGCACAGAGCCTGACGCGGGGCTTGAACCCACGAACTGTGAGATCATGACCTGAGCCGAAGTCGGATGCTTAACCAACTGAGCCACCCAGGCGCCCCAAATCACCAAGTGGTTTTCAGCAGGGGGGTGATGCCCTGATTTGGGTAGAGGAGTTCCATGTTGGGAAACAGATGGGAAAGAGGATGGTGAGGTGGGATGGGAGGAAATGGATAGAGTGGCAGCTGTTGGAAGGGAGAGAAAAGTCACCCTGAATGAAGCAAAAGCCTCATTTTTATTTACTATTCCCAGACAAGGTGGACCTGATTATGGAGGCTTATGGCCGATTGCCCAGTATTATAGCGGGACCTCTAGAACTAGAGCCTGCAGGCGGGAGTGGCCTATTCTTACCTTAACCCTGTCATCCAGTGGGCAACTGCTAGTGATGTGCCACCCAATCAGTAGGCAGGCTGACTATGTGAACGGAAGCTGGGAAAAGCTAGAAAAACAAGAAGAGCTCACTACTTGTCGATGCCTGGTAAAGAAGGGTCCTATCGGCCTGCAGTGGTGAAATTCCTGCTTGTACTTGCCAAATTAACTCACCAATCAGAATTGTTTACTATTGGATAGGGGTGTATGCCAGGGCTGGGGGGGGGGGGCGAGTGGGGAATGCGCGGGTCTTGGTGAGAACCATCACAGGGAAAACAAAGTAGATATATCTAGGTATGATATAGGATATTCAGCATTCTAAGTCATAAGAAAGAAATAGGTAGGTTGCCTTGGTTGTGCCTGGGAGTTACACAGAAGACACATAATCCACGTTGTTGGCCAACTGACCCACCTGCAATAGACAATGGGGACAGAGGCTGGGTGAGAGGAGGAAGGAGGTCCTCTGCCATGGTGGCAATGCCTTAGAAGGGGTGAGGGATGACTGTTGATATGGTAACCCAAGACTTACAGTTCTCTTCCCCTCCCCACTTCCCTAAACAGGTGCAGTGCCATACTTACACGGGGTACTGCTGGTGTGTCACCCCAGACGGGAAGCCCATCAGTGGCTCTTCTGTGCAGAATAAAACTCCTATATGTTCAGGTACCGTAGGGAGGGATGGGAAGAAAGACAAGAGTCGGAGAGAGACCCCTTAGCTGGTCTCCTGAATCTTGTGGGGGAATCTTTGAAAAATGGTTGAAAGACGGGTGGTAGTTATGAGCCCTCTTCCAGGCCAAGGAGGATTCCACTCTAACACGCTGCTCTGTGGTCAGCTGGATGATGGGGTCAGCGTATGCCCACGTGTATGTATTTCTTTATTTTGAATTTAGGTTTCTGGTTCAATGCTCTCTTCCTAAGCATCGGCTGTGACCCCTAGAGAATGGCGTATAAATTTTTTAGCTTGGGTGCTCTGCTTGCTAACAGCCTCGGGAGCACTTTACTGAGATAGATTTCAAGACTGTATGTTCAGCATCGGGGACTGAATGACCAACTAGTGATGTCTGTCTGTCGTGGGCACATGAGAGGAGAGTGGTGGTGGGATGCCATATATTCGCCCCCCCTCCCCCCGATGTAATGTAGACTAATGGAAAACTTTCGTGACAGTGGCCCTCAATTCTGGCTGTCATCGGCAGTGCCTGGGGAATTAAAAAGAGCCCAGGTGTTGAGGCTCCTCCTTGTATAGTCTGATCCAGTAGGTCTGGAATGAGACCTGGAGTCCACATGTTCGCGAAGTTTCTCAGGTGGTTTTGATGACTAGACAAGCTAGGGAATCATTACTTCATAGTGACCCATTACATGAGCCCATAGCATAATTAAGTCCTTTCTATTTCCAACTCTATAAGCATAGGGAAATTCTGCTCTTAGATCAGCCTCTCAGGATTGTGCATTTTGGATTTATGCAAGCTCCAGACTTTCCACTTGCATTCAGATCGTAGGGGACTTGGGAGTCACTTCCTTAATTCACTGTGTGGCTCAGTCCTCATTCAAAAAAGCCTGTCCAGCCACCAGCCACTTCATATTTCTTCATATCTGTGTGTATAAGGTTTTGCTTATTTACTTATTTTTAACTCTTAAGTGCAAGCAAAATATAAAACATTATTCTGAAGCCTTTGGGAAATTCCAAGGGTTAGCAGTCCTGCCATCCTGCCATTTTTCTTCTTTTCATAAAACATACTCATTTTTCTACCGGCTCTGCTATATAAAGGGAATGGTAAGAAAGGGCAGTGAGTATCTACATTAGGAAACCAAGATTTGCAGGCCAAAATGGAAAGTTTACTTTATTTGTGGTTTACATGGAAACTGGAAACCTTAATTGGGCTTGGTGTGGGGTGGGGCAGGAATGAGCCCTCCTTGCAAATGACCTGGAAAGTTTCACTTAAAGCAAACAAATGCACTAGAAACAAGCCACGCAGGAGAATATAATTGAATTCTCACAACTAGTATATGGAGAAGGGGTACGCTATGGAGTGAGAAAATAGGGATTCTTTGTTTCTCTTGATGGTGGGACCTCTGCACACACCCCTCTGTGGGTGAGCTGGCCCTGCCCTGCACGTGGCGGCCTTCGTGGGGAGGACAGGTGCCACGGAGTCAAGACCGCGGGATGGGTGTGCATGGCATCCTAGCCTATGCCGGGCAAAGCGTTCGGCCAAACATACACACCACCCCCTCCTTAAGAAACAGGCCACGTCTAGAAAATTGTTTCCATGCCTCAGACTATTTTGGCCCATTCAGTACAATTGGGCCAACAATTTTCTACTTAATGCAGATGGAAAATCGCCGATTTCCTGCCCTAACCGGCAAGGGATGTGAATCATTGCCTTTGCAGTAAGAGGGGTTTCTTTGGCCCTACTGAGTGGCTATGGCTCAGAGCACGGAGGCGGTGGGAAGTGGGGGAGATGGGGAGTGGAGGTGAGGGGCAGTTATTGGAATGTTCACCAGGGAGTTATGTCGATGTGGGGTTTTGTAAAAAGTCTGGTCGAGGCTATTGCCTGGAAATCATGGTTCATCTCACCAGGACTGTGCTGTCAGTGACATTGATGTTAAACAAACCCCACTTGACATGTATGTATGTACTAGCTTTGTATATAATGTCCCTAGACATGTATACAATGGTATGTATATACATAACCATACGCTCATAACATCAGGCTTTGCCAGCTCTTTGAAAGAAACCAACCACAACGTGTTCTGAATGTCTATGTTTTTGTTTCCCTTTACCCAAGGTTCAGTCACCGACAAGCCCTTGAGCCAGGGTAACTCAGGAAGGAAAGGTGAGTCGAGCTTTATGCTCTATCCAAATGTTTGCTTCTAAAGCCAGTCCAAGGAGAGTTCTAGACAAGATGGAAGGATCCTGGGTGTAAGCTAACTGTCCCCCACAGGAAACCTCCATTCTTACTCTGGGTTTCCTCCTAGAAGCACCGGAGGTAAGTAAGGTTCGTACCGTGGTGGGGACCAAGCTTGCACACGTTCTGAGGGATGGGAGTGAGTACCGTGTACAGAGCTGGCAGGGACCCAAGAATCTTGGTTCCTGGGCAGTTCAGGCCATGAGCTACCAGGTAGCCAGCACTAGGCCAAAAAGGACTAGGCATGAAGGTAGGCATGTCCGCGTCTGCCCCAACCCTCTTACTTTGGAACCCCGGTTGAACCTTCTTTCCCTTCCCTGATTCTCCTTGATAATTGTCCTAGCACATTCAGATTTTCTTCGCTAGGACTAGCCTGGCTCCTCGGGCCAACCACCTGTGCAGCTTTGTCTCAGAATTCCTAATCGCCCCGTCTTTAAACTTGTGTTTTGTTAAGTCCAGAGGGACAGTGAAGCCTGCATGCATGTGTCTGTGTCGCCCTGTTGGCGTATAGTTTTTGTGATGGATGCGGTGGGGCTTCCACAGTGCATGAAAAACATTACTCCCTCTTTACCTAGAACAACGTTAAATAGAGAAATGTGAAAGCACCATGACAAGTCAAGAGAGAGGCTGTGGAATGGAGGGTAAAACTTTATAATTTAGTGCCTTTAAAGGCATTATTTTCCTGCCTTTTGGACAAACGGCCTTGCATATTCATTTTGCACTGGGCCCTACAAATTATGTGGCTAACCTCAATTAAGGCATTTGTCTGAGTGCTGTTTAGCGGAACAACCAACATGAGGAATAGGTCCCTGGGATATGCCGACCATAATTTCCAGCGTGGAGGACACTAAGCTCCACCACCGCTTCCCTTCAGGACAATACACACACACACACACACATGCACGCATGCACGCATGCATGCACGCACACACACAGCTGGTAGCTGCCTGCAGAACAGGTATCAATTTCACTGCATGTGCAGGCATTCTAGAACCCCCATGTCGGGCTCTTGGGTAAAGCCCAGACATGGGATGATTGCATCTGAATCTGGGCCTTGGGAATTTCCTGTGTGTAAATGCCCACATGGAGAGTTGGGCCTATAGAGGATCAGCGACAGGTGCCTGGGCTCGTCCTGCACGGGAGGTCATGGGGGGACTGAGGTGAGACCCTGGCCCCTGCCCCAAATGCTTATTCCATGGGGCTGGGAAGAGGAGGCTCAGTCTCCCTACCCGCATGCAGGCAATGAGAGTCTGGAGAGCCTGCGGCCCCCTGGTGCAGGTGTTCCAGGAAGTCATGCAAGTGGAGCATAGTGATACCACCAGGCGACCTGCACTAATGGGCCTTCCCGCAAGCAGGAACGAGCAAAGCCAGTGAAAAGAAGGGAGCAAATGCCTTTCTAGGTCTTTCCCAGAACAGGGAGAGGTAGCCATGTGTGTTGGTGGTTCCCCTCTGGGTGGGAAAGTGGGAGAAAGGCATGACTATTTCTTCCTGCAAAGACCTGACCTCATCACCCCTGTGAATGGCGTGTGCCCTTCTACAACTGATTGGAGTTGGAAAGGAGAGCTGCCTTCAGTTTTGCGTGTGGCAACTGAAGGCTTCAGGAGTGCCACGTTTGTCCCAGGGCGTGGGGTAGTGGTGGTAGCAAAAACACTTGGCGGTCATGCAAAACTGACCACCCACATTTTCCCCACCAGAGGGAACTGAGGGCACGAGGCTGAAGGAAGCCCCCACACCGAGAAAGGCCAACGATGGGATTTTAGTTCTTAATCCGCATAGAGAAGCCCCTCCCGGGTTGATGTGGCTTTGCACCCTGTGGACAGCAAAAGAAACAGACCTGTGGTCATTGTGGCCTCCTGGTGACCCAGCTAGAAGACGGCAGGGGAACTTGATTCTCCCACGGATGGTGCAAGGAATGGGGTGTAGAGTCTGAAGCCTCATCTCCGAGATAAGCTGCCCCGTTTCCAGCAGTCTGCTCCCCTACTCCAGACGGGTTCCTGCCTCCCAGATGGTTCTACGGAGGCTTCCTCTGTGGTGCAGAATCCCGGTGGGGGGGTGCTAAGATCCCTCACCTCTGGAGACTTGACTTTTGCCCATAGCCTCCTCTTCCTTCTACGCAGGAAGGAACTGCGTAGGTGCTAATCCTCTCCTCTTTGTCTGCCGTGGGCAGTGCAGGGAAAAGCAGGCTCAGGCCACCTGTAGGAAAGGCCACCTGAAGCCACACCTGTCCAGGAAGCTGGGGTTTGAAGGGGGACAGGGTGCGAGAGGGCATTTGTAATATCCTGTGTCGGCCGCTGAGGTCCCTCTCTCGGCTGCCACTTAAGAATGGAATGTGCTCCGGAGGGCAGCAGGTGGGAAGACACAAAGGCCCCTTGTCTGAGCTGGTGCCCACACGTGGGGTCTCCTGGACGGCATCTCCCTCCAGCTCCCAGCCCCGAGGCCTGCTGAAAAGATGTGCGGCCTGGGCCCTTGTGCAGAGTGAGGGGTACAAGCCAGGCCCCGGGTCTGGGCGTGAGAGTGGTGGGGGTGGCCGGGGGTAGCAGGGGTGGTGGCGGGTGGGGGTGGGGGGAAGAGGTGCAGGCCCAGCTTTTCCTCTCCCCGCCCTCTCGCCTTTTGGAGTCCCGCTCTGCCAACAGGGCTCGGAGGGATCGGTTCCCTCTGCCTGGAAGGAATGAAAAGGTGTATTGTGCAAAGACGGAGGGTCTGGTTGCCAGCCAGGAATTAGTCCTGTGGAGGAAGGAGGAGAAGGCCGAGCAGAGGAGGCTGGGGGAGGAGGGCTCGAAGAGATAGCAGGAGGCAGGGAGGAGGGAGAGAGGCCGGGCGGTAGCGGGTCACAGGCGGCTGGCCCAGACAGGAGGCCTGGGTTGCGGCTCCTGGGTCCACAGGTGTGGGGCCCGAGGGGAGAAGTGGGGGAAGGAGGGAGGGAGGCGCTGTTATCTTACCCAGATGCACGTGCTCTGGGAGGGGAGGAGGGTCAGAACTTCAGACTATTTACTTAATCCCTTGGAATGTCCTTTCCTCGCTCTGTTCTTTAGGCCCCTTGTGTTTTACGGACCCCTTTATGGGCACATGTGTGGTAATTAACACGTGCAGCGTAGGTCCCGGGCCATGTGTTTGAGTTTCAAATATCCATTGATCTGGGGCATTCCCATCCTGGCTCCCCTCCCCTTCTTCTCCTTTGGTCCTTGCCCTTGAAGAGAGATGTGTGGGGGGGGGGGATGTTGGGGGGGCACACGTGCCTCCATATATGTTTTATCAATGCTTCAGAGGACTATCAGAAGAGAGGAAGAGGGATGCCCTTGAGCTCTGACAATCTGCTGCTAAAACAGTTGGAGGCTGCAGAAGCTGGGGTAGAGACGAATTTTTGGTTTCATCTGAAGCAGGTCGGAGGACAGCTGGGAAGGGGCTGGGAGGCAAAATGTGTTTAGAGATCACGAATTTACCCGGAGCGGATTTTCCCGGCCAACCAAGGCTTGTGGGTTTTCTCCGAGGTGCCTCTTTCTGGAGTCTTGATGCTAATGAAAGTGAACAATTTGGGGAGCTTCCAGGATTGCCCAATACAAAGTCAGGGACTGGTCCTGGGCGCTGTTGCTTGTGAGGTGCGGGAGGGAAGTTCTCAGCCTCCAGGGGATGCGGGCAGGAGAGCGTTTGTACAAGTCTTTCTGCCTGGTCTCCGGGAGCCTTCTGGGCACCCGGGACCATGGGGATCCTGGGCTGGTGCTTCTATACACAGCAAGTGAAAGTTGAGGACCATCCGGAGTTTTTTGCAGTTTGGGCATTTCCTACTTGTAAGAGGTCTGGGATTTAGCTGTTTAAGGAAAGTGAGAGAAAAATGAAAGCATTAGCAGACCCTGGTTACATTTTCTGCAGACTTGTGTACTTGTCAGGCCAGTGTTGGAGAGGGGCAGAACTCCTCAAACCCAACCCGCCTTTAAGCTGTGGAGACCGTTTATCTCCCACGAGCTGCTCCATACTATGTGCTCTCAGTGAGTCACAGTCGTTTGTCCAGGGTCCCTCTCTGCATCTCAGCTTTTAGAATCTTTCACGGAGCCTGGTCTACAGGTTGGTGGCAGCTCAGAGGGCTCGGAGGACCTGTCGCTCCGGTGATGGATTAAGCAGCGCACTCCTTCAGGGCCGAGGGATATGCTCCGGCAGGGGTGAGGGATGGCAGGCATCCCAGACAAAGGGGACTGTGTGGCCCGCAGCTTCAGCCCTTCTGTGGGCAGCGCACCTGAAGGAGGTTCACCTTGCTGCCCCCAGCCTCGCTGACGTGTGCGAGGCTAGCTGGCTCAGGCCATTCCACATGCGGGGCATCACTCCTGCTCAAATGACTTTACCTTCTTCCCAGCTACCTCTCTTTTCTCTCCCCCCAGCACGGAAGGAGAGGCTGGGTCTGTCCGTGACCTGTTAGCATTGTCATCAGATGGCAGAAGTCTGCTTCCCTGCCGTCTGGGGCTGGATTTGAGTGGAGACGGGCGGCTCAGGACCTCTGGGGGTTGGCCTCTGCTCACGTCGGATTTCCCCGGGGAGAAGCATTCCCTCTGCTGCGGTGCCTGCTGAAACAGAACTGTGCCTCGGCAGTACCAGGCCCGCGAGAGGCAGTGTTTTGCTCTCTGCACATGTGTCGCTGCTGTTTGCTGGTGCCCCGAGCCACCCTGACCCAGCCTGGCACATCTGCGTGCCGGCTCTGTGGGGTTCAGTTGCAGAGGGGTGTGCCCAAGTGTGTTTGAGCACCCGTGCGTGTGCTGCATCGCCTTCCTTCCCTAGGCCCCGGCTCGGCTCGTGGTGCTCAATCCCGGCTCTCCACCCCAGTCCCTATGCTGGGGTCTCTGAAAGCAAGTTAAGCATGGCGGATACCAAAGAGTTTGAATTTTTGCCATATCCCCATTTCCAGGACTGGAGAGGAAATGGGGTTTAGGGATCTGGAAAAG